TGTACGGATGTATATATATATATATATATATATATATATATATATATATGTACGTATATATATATACATGTGTATATATATATATATATGTGTGTGTGTGTGTTTTGTGGGTGTGTACGTATGTGTATATATATATATATATATATATATATATATATATATATATATATATATATATATAAGTAATAACCAATAAAATCCCAAATCACCTCATACGGGGAATAGTCTATTTCGGCAGACGAAAATGTTGATTGTCTGTCTTATCAACCCTGTTGTGCAATGGATTTGTGAGAGAAATAGAAATTTAATTATTATTATTATTATTTACAAATTTTTGTAAAATTTCTATTTCTGATACCAACTTAGTCCAAACTGGGGTTGATAAGACAGGCAACATATATTTTCGAATAGCTTATTCCCCATTTCAGCTGATTTTGTATTTTATTCTTTATTACGTATTTGCTCTGTAATAATAAATACATTGAGCTCTATATATATATATATATATATATATATATATATATATATATATATATATATATATATATATTGTTGGTTAAACGTTGTGTTTTTATATACATGTGGCTTTGGTGAACGAGTTCCTAAATCGGTTATCCTTTTTGTTATTTTTTGCCTATTTTAACATTTTTCGCTTCACCTCTTTACTGTAATTTATTTTATTATCTTTGCTCATCCCATCATGTTTGTTGGTTGTTTATATATATATTTTTTACATTTTGTATATTATTTTACACATATTTTTTAGACGGGCCGTATGATTACAATTTTCGATTTCCGAACATGACACCCGGGCGTCGAATTTCATCAGGGTCAATTTATCAGGAAGGTGACATATTGATGTTATCGGCCTGGGAATGCGATCCCAGTGTGTGAAAATGTTTGGAAACCATACCAATGGATAAACCCAAGCCTTGTGAGTTAAACTGGGTAGACGGCTTAATTTGGGCGCGGTAAATAGTTGTAATTTCCAGACAGTCACAAGGCATCAATATTGAAGGTTTGAGCGTACTGGCATTGTTCAGACAATTGATCATGCCAGAAACTCTCTCCCAGAAACTGTAACCAAGGTCCGGTTAACAGAGTTGCAATATAAATCATAGGTGGGCTCTGTAGGTGTTGAACAGTTTCGTTCCGGTAACCTAATACTAAATCTTAAGAACAAATACGGGCATTTTACAAGAAAACTCATGTATGAACAAGGGAGATAAGTCAGTATGACGTATTTGAGAAAGAAAATCTCAGAGAGTTAAAGAGTTGCATACAATGTTGCTTTTAGTTTGTTTAATTTAATTTTTAGTTAGAGATTATGTTGCTGCGTGTATCGAGAAGAATTTGATACCAGATACGTGATATTGAACTGTGAAAGCCGGGTTTACAGAGGGAAAATTGCGTTTTTAGGATTGGATGCTGTTTTTTTACAACTTTCTTTTTTGGAAGCACGATTTACTTTCCCATCACAAAATAGCCGCAGGTTTACAAAGTAAATCTCCCCAAGTCAATACTTTGATCACAACAAACAAAGCTGAGTGAAGAAAATATTTTTTATAGATGTCAGAAATAGTTATAAATCAAGAAATATTGAAACAAAAATGTCATTAACATGAAAATAAAGTTACGTCTGAAAAAACAAAACAAAAAAGAAGTGATGGCAAAGAGCCAATCTTCTGGCGGGAATGCAAAACGGCTGATCCATTATTCCACACAGAGCCACAAACACGCCTGCGCGCACACAAATCACAAAAAAAAACAAACCAAAAAAAAACAAAACACAAGCAATGTGGTACTGAACAGTTCTTGAAATGACACACGGTGAAAATATTAGAAAAGACCAAACAACAGACTTTATCTTTAAAATAAATTCTTTGCAGAATCTAGAGCTTTTCATAACGCCTTCATTGATATATATATATATATATATATAATGTATGTCATGGGTCCTTACCTATAACTACAGAATGAACTATGTATACTACGTCTCTCAAGAGAGAGGGTCGAATTGAGTCGAGCCGATAGTAGTTCAGTCCAAACCAGATTGACAGTCATACTAACACCTTCCAGATCTTGTATTATTATTTCGTGTAATATACCTTCGTTATTTCTACTCTTGTGTTCGTGTTGTTCTTCCTTGGACCTAACCTGGACCATAACAATATATATACACACACTTTATTTTAGGATATTCAAAACGCTCTCGTTTATATACATATATATTATATTAACATTTATTTACATTGTTAAGCTATCTATCTATCTATCTATCTATCTATCGATCTATCTATCTATCTATCTATATATATATATATATATATGAAGAAATTTTGAAAAAACAAACAAAAATCCTTAAATGTAGTTAAATGAAAGAATGTCGACGTCTGACGTTTCGGTTTATTAAACCTTTTTCAAGACAATATTCATCAAAATAGAATTCAGTTCAATATGACAAATACGATGGACATAAAAACACAAGTCTTATTCCGAACAGATAACTGAAAATGTCCATCGTATTTGTCATATTGAACTGAATTGTATTTTGATGAATATTGTCTTGAAAAAGGTTTAATAAACCGAAACGTCAGACGTCGACATTCTTTCATTTAACTACATTTAAGGATTTTTGTTTGTTTTTTCAAAATTTCTTCATTCTGTCGGATTTATATCCATTTACACTTGCTTATATATATATATATATATATATATATATATATATATATATATATATATATATAAGGAAAAATTTTGGTAATCTGTATGGATAATTCCAGGGGGGAGGAAATCCTGAGAGCTCAATCTTAATTCAAAGCGAATAGTTTAATGTAAAGAAAAACAGACCACTTTAAGGCTCCATATTAATAATTGTTGAGTTGACCGATTAAATAAGTCAAAGTCTGGTCCTTACCCCCTCCTTCCTGAATATTAAGTATTATAATAAAAAGAAATATAAAAGTAAATTTTAAAACTCTCCCTTCTCTCTCTAAACTCGACCATGTATCTCATACCCTCCCTCACCACCCTCTATGTCAACATATAAGCTTAATACTGCCCGTCAAAAGTATAAATTTTAAATTCATTTTTCGTTTCAGCTTTTGAAAGTAAAGTCTGAAGATCCATAGAAAAATAAAAGTATCTGATGAAATAAATTATTACAATGGAGCCTTAAAGTGGTCTGTTTTTGTTTAAATTATATATATATATATATATATATATATATATATATATATGAGATAACGATTATATAAATCTTTATATATCAAGAACAATTTTGGAGAGAAAATGTATGCCAAAGTGGAAAAAATTTTCATGTGACGCGTTTCGTCCTAGCAGATTTCATCAGCCCACATTTGTCATGTTGGCGGGGCTACACATGACCATAAATGACGGATCTATGTAATCATAAATTTTAAGATATATACTTTTTGATATATAATCAAGCCTATTTCATTTAATCACAAAAAACTAAACTTTGTCATACATCTTATTTTATATATATATATATATATATATATATATATATATATATATATATATATATATATACTTTATTTTAGGATATTACATTGAAAACATGGCAAAAGCACTGCACAATTGCCGTCGTGTTTCGATGCGCATACAACACATCTCATCAGACCAATGTCAGCTGCTGGCGAGTGAACGATTTAATCAGATTTAAAAGCAAAATACAGCCTCTTTTTTATGAATAAAAAAGAGAGAGTGTGTTCATAATGTTTGTGGGCTTTGCTCAGGTAAACCAATCAAATATGACTTAAGCTAAATTTAAACTAAGGAAAAAAGCAAAAGTTGAGAAATTATTTTCCATAAATGGCTCATGACACGGAGGTTTGAAATCAATGACAGCAACAGACGTTACACAGGAGCGGATGTAAATGAATACATATTGTACTTTTAGCCGATGTCATTTTCTAAAAAAAAATATAAGTGGTAATCTAACAAAATGCGAGACAAGTTATATGCATTGAGATTTTCCTACATAAAAGCTATATTTATAGTTGATAAAAAATAGCTTCTTTAAGAAACCAGTAAATAATTTAAATCTACAGATTTACTTGATAAATTAATGTTAATATGCATCTGTTGACTAACGATTATTTATATAGCGTGTTAATAACAATAACCAATCATTGCAAAATGTGCCAATACCAACTAAATAAACAATACATTCGTAAAAACTGTTACAAACACTATCAGGAGATTAGTACAAAATTATATTAAATCTAAATTAATACAGACATAAAGATAAGCCATATATGGTTCAACCCAATTCAACTAAGATCTAAGAAAAATACTGTCAAACTGTCCAAATCTAACTCAATTGTAAGCTAAACGGTAGACAGTGTTTACAATTTACCGTTAACACGGATCTTTGGATTAATAAAGCAGTCTTAGGAAAGAACCTGATAATTTGCAATTTTTCATGTAAACAGAGAAAACAGGCTTCATATAAGGATCTACACGTCCTTGCCATTTATAGCTTCAATTTGTATTGAGCCCTCTTTTAAATTAAATGTTACGAACGTTGGAATTGTACTCTATTTGTTCTCATGTGTGTGTGCGTGTGTTACTGTGCGTGTTTGCGTGTGTGTATCTAAGGTTATCATGTATAGCCAGCTTTACAGTTGACAAAGTACTATTAGATTCCCGTGGCTCAGGTATAAGGACAAATTAAAGAGTAACGACTCGGTTGCCAATATACCTCATACTAAATTCGAGAGTTACCCTAGATATAAATAACTGGAGATATTTGTATCAGATTATTATCAGAAATTTCGAAGTCAGTTGTATTGACCAGCTGAGAGACGAAAGACAATGGCGAAAAGCGTCAGCAAATATTCTTTGTCCGAGTTCCTCGTTGTTGCCCAATATGTGGATTTTATGCAGGACACGAGAGGGACTGAAGTGTCACATACGACTCAAGCATATAAACCTAATGAGGTTCTTGGATCCCTATACATCGAAATCGACGTATGAATCTATCTATCTATCTATCTATCTATCTATCTATCTATCTATCTATCTATCTATCTATCGGATTGGTGTATACGAAATAAATTCCAGTAACCAAAAAATAATATTCTTAAAAGAGTGCTTAATACAGAGTAGAGCACATAAAATTATTTATTCGAAAATTATAAATATGTTATAAAAGATATTGTTATATAACATATCTATGTTATAATTTTCGAATAAATAATTATATATATATATATATATATATATATATATATATATATATATATATTCTCACCGTGAGCAAGGCTCTGAGTTTCAGGCACGGCACAATCTTCAGGTACTGACTATGAAGTGACGATTACAAAATTTGAACTATAATAGCAGCAAATAAATGGGAAAATAACATCAATAGCGAAACCAAGAAAATAGCCAATGAAATAAAACTTGACGATAAGATCCACAAATTTCACAGACAACAAGCGTTCATCACAGTTAATGTTTTTAAGGCAATTTAAAAAAAAAAAATCTCTAATGCCGATAACTCAACCCAACCAAAAATATTATCGTTTTCGTCGGCCAAAACTTCATTGAAAGAGCATGCAAATAGACAAAAGATGCACTACGAATTAACTAGTGGCACAAAACAGCTGAAGCTATAGAATCGTTTACCAATATAAAAAAGGAAATAATTAATGTACATTCATTAATTCGATATCTGTGACTTTTATCCGTCCGTCACGAAGAATTTGCTAATTTCGGCTATAAATCTCGAATATCGTATAGCAAGCACAAAAACCTATTCTTTTTCATAATGGTTATCTGTGGACCAAAAAAAGCAACCCGGAATGTACTATCGCTATGGGAGCGTGTGACTCAGCGGAGGCATGTGAATTAGTTGGAATTTTATTATTATGGCGACTTAGATTTATTTTCAGCACCGAGTACACTAGACTCTATACAGATGACGGTGCCATTCCCCTCCGTAAAACTAGCCCACGAATGATAGACTGATTGACAAAGGAACTAATAAGTTTTTTAACGATCAGGAACTAAATATTACCACAACCACCAACGCTAAAGGGATCTACGATTGGATGTAACCTTACATCCGAATAATACCTATTATAAACCGTAGAGAAATGATCTATATGACCATAGATACGTTAGTAAACAAATCCCGACCATGAAAGTCTACATAGTTTGCATAAATCTGTCCAAGTTAGATTATCCGCTCCAACAATATGGAAATTTTTGATAAGATTAAAATTAAATATATGCAGGCTTTGGAATTAAGCCACCATAAAGTAAATTTAGAGTATTTAACAATAAATAAAGAAGGTAAAGAAATAATAAAAAACAATGTAAACGCAACACAGTATGGTTTAATCTACCTATTACCCATAATGTCAAAACTAGTATTGGAAGAATTTTACTAAATTTAATTCATAAACACTTTAACCATTCACAACACTAAAAAAAAAGATTTTTTAGCAATATAGCTGTAGTTACGTTAATATCATAGACGCATCCATCTCCCGACATAAAAAACATAATATTAAACAAAAATATTTCCAACAAAGAAAACGTAAATTCTTCTAAAAATAAATGCAACTGCCGTAATAATATGATCAGTCCCTTAAACGGTCAATGTATGACCAATAATATGGTATATCGAGTGAACATACATTCCGGTATCGATAATAAATTTTAATTTGTTTCCACAGAAAATCCTTGGAAATTTCGTTTTTACCATCATCGAATGACCTTAAGTAATTTAAAATACAGAAACAGTACTGCTCCTTCGAAATATTTCTGGCATTTAAAGAATGAGTGCATCTCACAATTAATCAATTAGGAAATTATATCTAGAGCTAAAGCTTATACCGGTGAAGGAAATGAATGCAATTTATGTCTAGTTGAAAATCTCAAAACATTTAAATAACCTTAACTTATTAAACTATAAAAATTAATTGATTGTTACATGTAGACATAAAAATAAATATCTGGTTAAATACATTGATCACGATTATATTTTTAATTTCTAATTTTTAATTCTGAATGTAATTTATGGTTTATTTTTTAATATAAAGCTCTATTTATTGATTTGAATACAAATTTATGTTTTTCGTTTAATGAGAACAAGTAATCACACTTTAATTGAAATTGTGTGTAAACATTTCCAAAAAATTAGATTATGAATATTCATCACTAAAATATCATTTAATATCCTTTTTTTGCATATATATATATATATATATATATATATATATATATATATATATATATATATATACCACATATTTAATTGGCAAATATAATGTTAAATTTTAAAATTAAGAAACTAATGTCATCATATATAACTACGCCAACATTTTGATAACCAGATATAATTCAAACTGTGTAACACTCAATCTATACTTAGCACCTGAGGATTGCGTCGTGCATAAAACTCGAGGCGCGCTAGCGGTGAGGGAGTATATATGTATATATATATATATTTATTAATGTATATTTAATAGCTCTGTTGTATTAGACTGAGCACTGTTTTATAACAACAGCAGTATATGTTCGATGCATTATCTATCTATCTATCTATCTCTCTATCTATCGAGCAAGTTAATTCTTTTCATTATCTATCTATCTATCTATCTATCTACCTATCTATCTATCTATCTATCTATCTATCGAGCAAGTTAATTCTTTTCATTATCTATCTATCTATATATCTATCTATCTATCTATCTATCGAGCAAGTTAATTCTTTTCATTATCTATCTATCTATCTATCTATCTATCTATCTATCTATCTATCTATCTATCTATCGAGCAAGTTAATTCTTTTCATTATCTATCTATCTATCTATCTATCTCTTCAAATTGTCTATCTATTATATATCTATGCATTTCTATCTATCTATCTATCTATCTATCTATCTATCTATCTATCAGAGCAAGTTAATTCTTTTCATTTCTATCATTATCTATCTATCTATCTATCTATCTATCTATCTATCTATCTATCATTTATCAAGTTAATCTCTTTTTCTATTATTATCTATCTATCTATCTATCTATCTCTATCTATCAAATCTTCTATCTATCTATTCATATATCTTTGCATTTCTATCTATCTTCTCATTCTGTTTTATCTATCTATCTATCTATCTATCTATCTATCTCTGTTCTCTGTTCTTTTTCTGTCTTTTTCTTCTATCTTCTATCTTCTATCTTCTTCTTCTTCTATCTATCTTCGTCTCTATCTTCTTCTACTTATTTTTTTTTTTCATTTTTCTTTTATCTTTTTATCTTCTATCTATCTTCTTCTATCTGCTATCTTTTTTTTTTTATTTATCTATCCTTTTGTCTGTCTATCTATCTATCTTACGTCTTTCTGTTCTTTCCACTTTTTTTTCATCTCATCTTCTTCTTCTCTTCTATCTTTTCTATCTTCTGTCTTCTTCTTCTTTTCTTTACTTTTCAATTTATTTCATCTTCTATCTTCTTATCTTCTATTACTATCTATTTCTTCTTCTTATTTTATCTGCGTTTCTATTATCTATTTGTTTCTTCATCTATCTATCATTCTTCTTTTATGCTTTCAATTCTATCTATTATCTATCTATCTATCTATCATCTTTATCTATCTATCTTCGTTTCTTTTCTTCTTACTTTTTCTTCTATCCATCTATCTATCTATCTATCTTCTGTCCAATCTTTTTTCAATTTTATCTTTCTTCTGTCTATCTATCTTTTTCTTTCTATTTATTTTTTCTGTCATTTTTCTTTCTATCTTCTTCTATCTATCTTTTCTTCATTAATCTGTTTTTTCTATCTTTCTATCTTTCTTCTTTTTCTTCTTTTTTCCTTTTTTTTTTTTATCTATCTTTTCTTTTCTATCTTCTTATCTTTTCTATCTTATCTGTTCTTTTCATGTCTGTCTATTTCTTCTTTTTTCTTCTTTATCTATCTATCTTTGTTCATTTCCATTTCTTCTGTTTTGTCTTCTTCTGTCTATCTTTTTCCTATCTTTTCGTCTTTCTTCTTTTTCTTTTCTGTTATTTCTATCTATTTTTTCTTTTTCTTCTTTCCTCTATCTATCTTTATCATTTCATTTCTATATCCTTTTTCTATCTATCTGTCTTCTTTCTTTTATTTTTTGTCATCTTATCATTCCTATCTATCTATCTTCTATTCTTCTTATCTTATTTTCTTCTTCTATCATCTGCCTTTTTATCTTCTTTTTCTATCTTCTTTATCTATCTTCTTATCCTTCTTCTCTTTCCCTTATCTTTTGTTATCTTCTTCTTCTATCTATCTGTCTATCTGTCTTCTTCTTCTTCTCCTTTTCTTTGTTTCTATTTTTCATCTATCTTCTTCTCCCTCTCTTCATTTTCTTTTCTATCTATCTGTCTTCTGTCTTCTTTGTCTGTCTGCTTTTTTTTCTTTCTGTCTTCTTTTCAATTCTGTCTTTTTCCTTTTTCCATTATCCAAACTGTTTCGTTCTATTTCTATCTTGGTCTTTTATCTCTTATCTATCTATCTGTTCATGTCTTCTTTCTTCTATCTATTCTATCTTCTATCTATCTATTTCTTTTATCTGTCTTCTAATCTTTTCCTATCTTCTTTCTCTCTTCTTCTTCTTCTTTCTATCTTGCGGTTTCCATATTCTATCTTGTTCATCTATCTTCTTCTATCTATTATCCTATCTTTCCATTATCTTTTTTTCTCTTATTTTTTCTCTATCTATCTATCATCTATCTTCTTCTTTCCATTATCTTCTATTCCGTCTGTTCTCTTCTTATCTATCTATCTTCTGTATTTCTATTGTCTATCTTTCATTTTCTATTCATTTCTATCTAAGTTTCATTTCTGTCTCTATCTTTTTTTTCTATCTATCTTCTATTTCTTCTCCTTTTCTTTTCTTTTCTATCTATCTTCTTCTATCTGTATTATCTTCTTTTCTTCTTTTTTCTTCCTTTTTTTTAATTTGTCTTTTTCTTTATCTATCTTCTTCTATCTATCTATTATCTTCTCCAAATTTTTTTTTCTGTCTACTTCTATCTATCTCTATCTCTTCTTCTTCTATCTTTCCAATCTGTTTTAAATCTATCCCTATCTTCTTCTTCTATCTTCTATCTATCTGTCTTTTGCCGTTTTTTCTTTTGTTTCTATCTTCTATCTCCCATCTTCTGTCTATCTTCTTCTATCTATCTTGCTTTTATTCTTTCTTTTCAGTCTATCTATCTCTTCTTCTATCACTTCCATTCTATTTTTCTACATCTTATTTATCTTCTTTTATTATCATTTATCTATCTATTATCTATCCTTTTCTTTATCTTCTATTTGTTTCTTATCTTCTATTTTCCTTTCTTCTATCTATCTATCTATCTTCTATCTATCTATTATCTACCTTTTCATTTCTTCTTTTTTTTATCTTCTTTTCTCTTCTATCTGTTTTCATTTTCTTTTTTATCTATCTTCTATCTTCTTTTGCTTTCTATCTATCTTATTCGTCTTTTTTTTCCTTTATTCTTTCTGTCTTCTTCTGCTTCCTTTTTTCTATCTGTTTCTCTCATCTTTTCTTCTATCTATCTATCTTCTATCTATCTGTTATCTTCTTCTATTTTTTTTGATCTATCTTCTATCTATCTGGTTTTTTCTATCTATCTTTCGTCTTCTTCATATCTATTATCTATTCTTTTCTTTTATCTTCCATGTTTTTTCTGATCTTTTCTTTTTCTTTCTTTTCTTATTTCCATATTCTATCATTTAGTCTTTCATTTATCTTCTTCTATCTATCCTCTTATTCTATCTTTAGTCATCTTTTCTTATTATCTATCTTCTTAAACTATCTATCTTATCTATCTTCTTCTAATTGGGTTTTATATATCTATCTTTTTCTTCTATTTTCTCTTCATCTATCTGTCTATTTTTCCCCTTTTCATTCTATCTATCTTCGTCTATCTGTCTATTGTCTATCTCTTCTGTCTTTCTATTTCCTATCTTTTCTTTTTTTTTCTATCTATCTTCTTATCTTCTATCTTCCATTATCTATCTATTTCTCTTCTTTCTTTTATTTCTTTTCTTTTCTATCTATCTTTTTTTTCTATCTATCTCCCCATTGTTTCCATTATATCTGTTCGTCTTTCTATTTCTATTATCTTCTACCTTTTTTTTTTATTTTCTTTTCTTTTTCTCTTCTTTCTATCTATCTATCTATCTATCCTTTTTCTTCTATCTATCTATCTTTTTATTATCTATCATTCCTTCTATCTATCTTTTTTCATTTCTTTCTATCTATCTATCTATTTTCCTTTTCTATTCTTTCATTTCTTCATTTATTATCTTTTTTTTCCCTTTCTTCTATTTTCTTCTTTTCTTCTTTTTTCCATTTTTTTCTTCATGTTTCTTTCTGTCTGTTTTCTTTGTCTGTTTTATTCTTCTTTTCTTCTATCTGTCTATTATCTATTTTTTCTATCTTCTATCTGTCTATTTGTTTTTTTTTCTTATCTTTTATTTCCTCTATCTTTTCTATCTTCTATCTATCTATTCTATCTTTCATTTTTCTTTTCTCTATCTTTATCTTTTATCTATCTTCTATCTACTATATTTCTATCTATCTATCTATTCTTCTTCTATCTTTCCATCTGTCTATTTCTATCTTCTATTTTATTTTTATCTATCTATCTTCTTTTTTTTTCATCTATTTTCTTTTTTCTATCTATCTTTTCTATCTATCTGTCTATCTTCATCTATCTTCTATTTCATTATCTTTTCTTTTTTTTTATCTATTCTTATTCTTCTATCTTTCCTTTTCTGTTCATCTGTCTATTTTTCACATCTTCTTCTATCTTCTTTTATTCTGTCTTCTTCCTCTTTCCTCTTCTATTTCCTTTTTATTATTTTCTGTTTTTTTTTTTTTATTTCCCATCTTCTATGCTTCTCTTCTTGCCGTATTATTTTTTTGTCTGTCTTTTTATCTATCTTCTTCTGTCTCATCTTTTTTAAACTTTTATCTGTCTTTTCGTTTGTCTTCTTATCTATCTTCATATCTTTTTATTTTTATTTTTCTATCTATCTGTCTATCTATTTCTCTATCTTCTTCTTTTCTATCCTTTTCTATTTATCTTATCTTTTACCATCTTTCTATCATCTATCTATCTTCTTCCTTTCTATCTTTTCTCTCGTTTTTTAAACCCCATCTATTTTCCTTTTTCTATCTTTCTTTCTATTTTCATTTTTATCTATCTTGTCTTCTTCTGTCTATATTCTCTTCTATCTTCTATCTATCTCCGTCTTTCTTTATGTTTTCTTTTGTCTTCTTCGTCTTCTGTCTTCATTTTTCTTCTGTTCTTTTCTGTCTGCTTTACTGTCTTCATCTCTGTCTTTCTTCATTTCGTTTATCTATCTTTTCTCTTCTTTTGTCTATCTTCTTTTTCTTTTTTTTCTATTTGTCTATCTGTCTTCTTCTATCTGTCTATCTTCTTTCTTTTCTATCGTTTCTATTCTTTTATTTCATCTATCTATCTATCTATCTATCTATTTCTTCTATCTTTTTCTATTTTTGTTTTCTTTTTTTCTATCTTTTTTTTTCTTCTTCTTCTATCTTCTGTTCTTCTTTCGTCTTTATTTTTTTTACTATCTATCTTCCTCTTTTTCTTCCTGTATTCATTTTTCTTCTTCTGTCTATCTATCCATCTTTTATCTATCCCAAAAAAAAAATTTTTTTGTTTTTTATCCCCCCCCCCCCCTTTTTTTTTTTATGGCCCTTTTTTTTTATCCCCTTTTTTTTTTTTTTTTTTTTTATCCCCTTTTTTTTCCATTTTTTTAAAAAATCTATCTACCTTTTTTCCTTTTTTTTTTTTTTTAAATTTTATCCCTTTTTTTTTTTTCTATCTTTTTTTTCCCCCTTTTTTTTTTTTTTTTTTCTATCTATTTTTTTTTTTTTGGGTTTTTTTTTTTTTTTTTTTTTTATCTTTTCCCTTTTTTTTGGGTTTTTTTTCCCCCTTTTTTTTTTTTTTTTTTTAAAATTTTTTTTTTTTCCCCCCCTTTTTTTTTTTTCCCTTTTTTTTTTCTTTTTAAAAAAATTTTTAAACTTCTTTTTTTTTTTTTAGGTTTTTTAAAAATTTTTTTTTATCTTTTTTTTTTTTTTTTCCCCTTTTTTTTTCTTTCTTTTTTTTATCTATCCATTTTTCTTTTCCCCTTTTTCTTCCCCCCTTTTTTTTTTATTTTTTTTTTTTTTTCCCTCCCCATCCCCCTTTTTTTTTTTTTTTATTCTTTTTTTCCCCATCTATCTATCTATCTTTTTTTTTTTTTTAAAAAAATTTTTTTTTCTTTTTTTTTTTCCCCCCCCTTTTCCCCCCTTTTCCCCTTTTTTTTATTTCCCCTTTTTTTTTTTTTTTTTCTTTTTTTTTTTTTTTTTTTTTCCCCTTTATTTTTTTTTTTCCCCCCCCCCCTTTTTTTTTTTTTATTTTTTTTTTCTTTTCCCCTTTTCCTTTTTAAAAAAAATTTTTTTTTTTTTCCCCTTTTTTTTTTTTCCTTTTTTTTTTTTTTTCCCAAAAATTTTTTTTTTTTTACCCAAATTTTTTTTTTTTTTTTGGTTTTTTTTTTTTTTCCCCCTTTTTTTTTTTTTTTTATAAAAAATTTTTTGGTTTTTTTTTTATCTTCCCCAAAACTTTTATTTTCCCCTTTTTTTTTTCCCCCTTTCCCCCCTTTTTTTTTTTTTTTTTTTTTTTCCCCCCCCCCCTATTTTTTTCCCCCCCAAAAAAAACTATCTTTTTTTTTTAAATTTTTTTTTTCCCCCTTTTTTTTTTTTTTT